TAGGTAGGTATATATGTATAGCCTTTTGTCATTTTTTAATAAGTGTATGATAAAAGCTAATATTGGCGTTGTAACTAAGTTATTATTTGAAAGACTAAGTGTGGGAGAGCCATGCTTCGGCACGAATGAGCCGGCTCGATCGGAGGGACACCACGCCCTCACAGAAAATCGACGTGAAACATCGCTTCATCGTGTGAATGAGGTTAACGGAGGTCCAATTCCCTCCCTCTCCAATCTATCCAATCTCTAAATCCCCAACAATCCACAAATTCCTAATACCCAAAATGCAGGTAACGCCATTGTAACGCCTCTGGTGTTCCATGGGCTGCACAGATTACTTACCATCAGGTGATCAGTCTGCTCGTTTACCGGCTTATCACAAAAAAAAATACTTGAAACGGTTAACCATCTAGTTTCTTTTCGGAGTTAGGTACATACCTAGGCTCCAGCCTTTTGCGCTGCGACGCACCAGGTCCAGGTCCACCAGGGTTTTTTTGTGTTTCTAAATTCTTGTTGTGTGTCGTAGCAAAATAAATGGTTTTTCCTTCTTTCTGTCTTTCTTTCTTGAGGTGAAACCGGTACCTAGGTTTATACTTTTTGCAGTTAAACTGACGAAAGTATTTGACGAACGTTCATGTATATTTTGGTCTCCTCGCTTGGCAAGCGGATTGAAGATCACGGTTTAAAAGATTGAATTCTTAGAGCATTTTTTCCTAATCTTTTTTAAGTGTGAAGTCCTTTAGTCTTCAACTCTTAAAACACAAGCGGCAAAAGTGGAGGTGGTGATTAACATATTGTACCAGCTACTTCTGCGTAGTTTCATCCGCTCTACTCGGCTCCTAATAGTTGTAGCGTGATGTTATATAGCCCTTAGCCTCCCTCGATAAATGGACTATCTGACACAGAAAGAATTTTTCAAATCGAACCAGTAGTTCCAGAGATTAGCGCGTTTAAACAAACAAACAGACAAACAAACAAATAAATTTGCAGCTTTAAATCCTTACTAATATTATAAATCGGAAAGTGAGTTTGTTTGTTTGTTTGTTCCGACTTCACGCCGTAACTACTTAACCGATTGCATTGAATTTTTGCAGACGTAAAGTTAGTAGTCTGGATTAAATAATAGGGTACTTTTTATTCCGAAAAAATTTGATATTCCCGAGGGAAAACAAAAGTATTGGTATAGATGGCGCTGTGTGTATTGGTATAAGTCATATAGGCTACTATTATCCTTTTGTGACGCGAGCCAAGCCGCGGGTAAAAGCTAGTAATAAGTATAAAATTCGGAAGTGAGTATACGAAAACAGGACTTTATATTTCCCCAATGATACGTTATGCATCATATACCTACGTGACGTATACAACAGTTACATTAGCTTTACACTCGCGTACTGCGGGCCGCCCCATAAACCCTAGCTTAGCGTCCCACCAACATCTACAACTAGGGTGTTGTCGACAACTACACACATGTTGTGACGTCACATGTTTGTAAACATTGTGTTTATTCATTGCGTTTCATGTATGTGATTTAGTTATAGTTGAAAATCATTTAGGGAGGCCTGTGTTCAGCAGTGGGAGTTGTGTGGCTGATATGGTCATGAATATGTCGCGACAACGTCGCACGAAGTCGAGGAAGAGCCCCTCTGTGACTCGAAACTAGTAGAGCTTTTCTCAGTATATTTACATTATTTTAAGTCATTCAGTATGTCTTATGTCCGCTGATAGAATAATGTTCGGTATAGAATAATTATATCAGATCAATTAAACTTATTACAACTGCCTCTAGTTCCCAGTTGGATGGTCGTAATTTCCTAGCTATAGACAACATGATATTTAGAACCGTCTTTACAGATGATTTCCAGATCAAGTGCGGAAGAGCCATACTTCAGCACGTAGGTAGGTATGGGCCGGCTCGACCGGAGTGATATCATAGAAAACCAACGTAAAAAAACGCTTGCGTTGTATTTCGTTGTGTGAGTGAGGTTACCGGAGGCCCAATAACCCTCCTCTACAATCTCCCCAATCCCTGAATCCCCATCAATCCTCAAATTCCTAATCCAAGGCCGGTAATGCACTTGTAACATACCTCTGGTGTTCCGGATGTCCATCAGCGACGCCGTTTGCTGACCACCATCAGATGATCAGTCTGCTCGTTTACCGGCTAACCCCAAAAGAACAGAATTTGAAATAGGTTTCATTGCCTCTTACGACACCCACTGTAAGTCTCGACTACTCTTCTCTACTTTATGAGAAACAATGACATTAAAATTGAATCAACTACCAACACGGTAAATCAGCAGCCATTTTAAAAATGGTTCTCGAATTAATTAAGCCGTAGCTGTCTATTAGTATTGGGGTACTTTTTGTACCGGCAGTCAATTAACAAGGTATGTCGGCTTCGCAGCCAGCTAGCACCGACAGACAAATGATCTCTTTAAACTATGCGATTTATTTGTTCAGGATTGTTTAGGATGGTGGTACAGTGGGTGGTGGAAGCGATTGGATGCGTTGTTTGCTATAAAGTTTAGAGTTATTGAGTTTTGAATTGGTTAATAAATTTATGTCAATTTTCCATTTGAAACATTTGAGAAGAAAAGAAAGAAATCGTAACCCTTTGGTTATGATAAAAGTCATATAATTATGTGACAATCTTATACTAATATATAAAGCAAAAGAGTTCGTTTTCTTGTTTGTTTGTTTGAACGCGCTAATCTCCGTAACTGCAAGTCTGATTTGAATAATTCTTTTTGTGTTGGATAGCGCATTTATAAAACATCACGCTACGACCAATAGGTGCTGAGCAGAGCGTGTGAAATGTATGTATAATGTAAGCTAAAAGTATAACGAGAAGAATCACAACAGAACCTATCTTGTAAGTACTGCTGAACTGAAAACATGTACTGAAATGATGGAAATTATCAAGATAGTTCAAAATGGCGAAACTAAAACATTAACTGCCTTAAAACGTTTTCAAACATTTACAATTCTTTTTTATTGCACAATTTAACGATTTAATTGACATATTGAAACTAGCAGTTGTAATAAGTAGTCAAAATAATGAACTTTATTTGCTAACTATCTAACCAAACCTAACGTCACGTATTTAATTCGACCAGCGGGCGACGCATGCGCACCAATAATATATCCGTCGTCACGACAGCTGCTCCTTATTTTATCGCTCCTAATACGTAGTGCACAACCCTTATCAAAAACATCCTAAACGACCTTCCCATACATCGTAATTTAAACTTTAACTACTAAGTTTTATTGTCAGTTTTCGCTTGGAGAAATTTGCTGTTTACGTCGTTTGTAATTAAGACGTTTTCTTATTAGTGTATTTTCCAATAGGGTGTTTTATTTGTTTGTTGTTTAATGTGAGAATTATTCTCAGTCGATATTGAAGGATGAGCTGAAATAATACCTATTTATGAGAAAATATTGTAAATTAACTATCTCTTTGGTTCTGTGGTTACAATACCTATAGATGAGTAGGACGTCTAATCTCAATTTGCTATTTTAGTAGTGACATAGTCGCAGTGCGAGGGTATGAATTTCATACCTACATGAGATTATTAACAAAGATTTGACTATTTAACCGATAAAAAGTCAACCTAATATTGACTGGTAGAGAATGCCATGCCATTTATGGTCTTAAGTCCACCTTATATAAGTACCATTATCAATAATCATATTATGTACATACATTAACAGATAAATGAACAGAACTAATGTTTAACCAAACACGCAAACGCCACACAATTTTAACATCGCCCTTAAGAATAGTTCTGTCACTACTGATTCTTTGTAAAATGACAGAGATAGCACGATATTTAAGAACAAACTAAAATTAAGTATTATCTTATTTATTTATTTTTAACCATGATCGTCCCACTGCAGGGCAAAGGCCTCGCTACCCTCCTTCCACTCCTCTCTATGTAAAGCTTTTTGCGGCAAATCCTTGTCATAGATGTCTAATTCGTCTCGCCATCTCCTTTTGGGCCCGCCGTGACGTCTACGGAGGTCGAGTGGATTAAGTAGTTGGAAAAAAAAATTCAGTAGCCTTTCAGTTTTCGAACGTTAATGTTTATAGAAATAGAGTCAGTCTATGCAAGTCATCGTAGACATAAAAGTAATATGTATCAAGATCATTAATTCAAAAAATAAAATAGATTTTATAGTTTACTAATCCTAGTTTCCAATGTTTTATTAGATCGCAACGTAAATAAATACTTTAACATCTGCGATTTAATTTGTTGCAAATATTATAACTGTCGTGTTTCGGTTTATCTTCCACGGCACTACTCGATGTTACTCACATCCTGCTGTTTATCATCAATTATACTCTCCGCAGATCTCGTAAACTCATAACATCGTCACCGCCACAGACTAAAAATATTAACAAATTGTTTAAGTATCAAAAAATATCTCTTTCCCAACGTAAATTGACCGTATCACCAATCACTACCCCATTCTAAACATCCGAAACGAAAAACTAAACGCTATGAAACACACGCCCAATTTTGCTAATATTTATACATCCTGTCCACCATTAAATTTCGCATTTTAGTCATTTCACTAAACACAAAACTATCCCGCCATAAATTATTTTTTAATGTTTCCGGACTTCGAATTTCTTACCAATGTTACCACATTAAAAATTAATAGCCGTTTTAAAACTATTTCGCATTGGCAACACTAGCTGCGCGCGCCGACGGAGAAGGAAACGGAAATGTCCATTATATCATCTGAAAAACATGAATATTTTTTATGAAAATGGCGTTATGAGGAAACTATAAAAGTGTTTTATTTATATAGTATCAGCTGTTAAGTGTTGAGAGTTCGTAAATGAGTATTTAAAAAGTTTAGTTCATTATGAGAAATGATGCGTTCTTATTTATGAAGACTCGTTTAATGGAATGATTTAAAAACCTTCAGCAGTTCCAACCAAACGACACAAAATTATCTTTTTTTTTCTAACAATAATCATCTCTTTGTTACAGTAAAAGATCACTTGCAACACTCAGACATCGAAGCAGACGAAGTGGAAACGGATGACCAAACCTCGAACCTTGACGATGACATCCTAACTCAATCAGATTTGGACGAAAACGGGGACCCTAAGAGTCCCACAAGTTCGAGCTCAAAGAAAGGAAAGAGCAGTTCTTCAAGAGACTCCAAAGGTGGCACTAAGCCTAGGAGAGCAAGAACTGCATTTACTTATGAACAGCTGGTTTCTTTGGAGAATAAATTTAAGACTACTAGGTATCTGTCTGTCTGCGAGAGACTCAATCTGGCGTTAAGTTTGAGTTTGACTGAAACACAGGTAAGCTTTATATTAAGGCTATCATGTAAATAAATACTGTAATATAGTTGAAGAAGATTGTTCTTGGTGGTGGGTTCTCAGGGCGTGAAATTAAGTTCGACACACGAATGACTGTAAACTGTATATATTGGAATAAACTAAATATAAACAAAGTTGCACAATAATACAAAAAAACTCAAAGATTATTCGCGGCACAAATATGGGCGTGCGTCGCGGCTCCGGCGCGGGACTCTTCTTTCTGCGTCGAGCGGTCAGTGGCGGGGAAGCGGGGGGAAGAGGAAATAGTGTGGTGGCGCGTTGCCACTAGAGTAGCGCGCGTGCGTTCGACACAAACCAAAATCGAATTGCCGCGTTACATCCTCCCCCTCTGACCTAGACATAGCGCCCTCGCGTCTTGGTCAGTCTAGAAATCGCTTGGGTTTTCCGCGCCTACGCTTTTCGATAACAGGCGGAATCAGTACATCGCCCACGAAAGGAGTCGACTGTGAGACGCGGTACTTACCCGAATTCTCGCCACTATCTAGTTTACGACGTGATTTAGACCTCGGAGTCTGTCCACGGGGCGCATCGTCGCTGCCCTGGGTTTTTAAAAGCAGATCTCCGGCTCCTGCGGAATATTCCGGCGCAGGGTGACGTTTCTTTCCAGAGCTACGTTTCTCGCTAACTCGGTTCTTTTCACGGACTTTACGAGCGTCAAACGGCGCGTTTGACGTACGTCGTAAGTACGGAGTAAAACTCATGACGGTGGGCCGTTCCTCCGGGCCCTCCCCCTGCATTGAAGGTGCTACGAGAGTAGATGCCAAACGATACCGTTCTCGGCTCGCGTCAGACTTTAATCGAAGCCGGGTGTAATCGGTTGAATGTTCTTCCTTTGCGGAGCGGTTAGTTATATCCAACAGAGAAGCAGTTAACTTTGCCCTCTGGTCAACCGTCAGCGCGGTCGGCTCCATGCTATCAGTGGTAGGTAAAGCGGGGCTGGCGGCAAACAGATGCCAACTCGACTCGTCGTTAAAACGCCAGCTGCACTGTGGTAAATCCAACAGGATATTCGCTTTCATAATAAAATTCCTACCTAACAGCGTCCTCGTTTGTGCATTCGGTAGCACCATAAACGTAGTGGGTATCACGCGTTTTCCTAACATGACGTCGACGTCACACTCAAGCGCGGTACGTTTCTGCTGAGACCCGTCGGCAAGACCTACGGTACGTACGACCGTCCTAAACATCACGCCAGCTTTAACGAGCAAAGCGTGCAGCGTAGGGCTCGCGATAGAATGTGTGGCCCCCGTGTCCAGTATGGCCACACCCTTACGGTCGACGACCTCAATACTTATAAGCGGTTGTGTATCATTATCACTCACGCCTACAATGTAAGTACTGCAAAAATCTACTTTACTTGAGTCGGCTGTACTTTTGCACTTATCGCATTTTGAGCGCACTACTCCCAGCTGGCCACATCCGTAGCAACGTAACTGAGTGTTATTATTATTATTAGAAGTATCTTCCTTCTTATTACGACAGTTATCAACTGAATGCCCGAAAAGTTTACAATAACTACACTTCGGTCGCGTACGTTTTCGTACGTCACTATTATTCTTTACATTAGACGTGGAGGCCTGACCTAACACGGCCGCATCACGTAAACTTACTAAAGAACTCGCGCTACATGACGATTTCGAACTTACGGGTTCGGCGACGGTTTTCGAAAGCTTAAGACTCGGGTTTGTGTCAGAACGGTCACGCGCGGCGCACGAGTCAACAGAACTCGTATTATTATTATGAGTGGGGGAACTTACCTCCGCCAGTGACTCCTCGACTAACCTGACTTTGGTGATGAGTTGCTCCAGCCCGTCGAAGGAATCACGACACACGCGTTTTCTAATCCTACGATCTAACAACCCGTATACAATGTCCAACTTCATTACCTCCGGTACTACGTACGGTAATTTTGATAATAAAGCGCGCACTTACAAATAAATACGTCGGCCCGTTCACTATTTTGTTCGGTAGCGAAAATGTCTCGAAGTATTTTATAACCGGGTCGCGGCACTCCAAACATCCCTCGAAGTCGTTGTAGGGCGTCGGTCCACGACGTGACCGACGGCTTCACTCCTTGCCACCAGACGGCGGCCTCGCCCACCAGCAGCATCGGGAGGCCGCGCAGCGCGTGCTCGTCGCTGACGTTGGTGCAGTCGCGGTAGATTTCGATGGCCTCGATAAATGCTTCGAGCTCATCCGCGTTCCTCGATGATCCGTTAAATCGCGCCGTGCATTTCGCGAAGTTACCTGCGCGCGGCGCATGCGTGTGTGCGTCGGCGGCTTCGGCGCGCGGCGATGACGTAATCAGCGGGTTTTTGTTTCCCGCCAAAATACTCTCAATCAGAACTCTGTTTGCTTCCACTTGACTCCTAGTGATGTTAGAGACAAGGGTATTTAGCATATCCTCCGACATTGTAATATTCGGGGACGAAATCACGGTTCTGTTTATCTCGACATCTGTGTCGGTATCCGATCCCTCATCTCTTCCAGTTCTTCTCTTCGGCGGCATGATAACAGGCAATTCCAACTGTTACTCGCTCGAAGAGCACGGGTGATGATTTTGAGGATGGTAGCTTCAACGAGTCGGTAGGTATATACCTACAGACGCAACCGGCGGCACGCGGAAAATGGACTCGCCCAAGTGTTTTCACTTTCGTATTTGCACTGGTTTTACAATAGTTTTCGTGTGATTGCACTATCGGAGAGAGTTCACAATATGTGTTTGCACGATAGGAACACTAGAACTTGTTGTAACTTTGAGTTTTTATGCACAGTTCGTTCGTGGCCCCACGTTGGGCGCCACTGTAATATAGTTGAAGAAGATTGTTCTTGGTGGTGGGTTCTCAGGGCGTGAAATTAAGTTCGACACACGAATGACTGTAAACTGTATATATTGGAATAAACTAAATATAAACAAAGTTGCACAATAATACAAAAAAACTCAAAGATTATTCGCGGCACAAATATGGGCGTGCGTCGCGGCTCCGGCGCGGGACTCCTTCTTCTTCTGCGTCGAGCGGTCAGTGGCGGGGAAGCGGGGGGAAGAGGAAATAGTGTGGTGGCGCGTTGCCACTAGAGTAGCGCGCGTGCGTTCGACACAAACCAAAATCGAATTGCCGCGTTACAATACCTAATTTCTTTCTGACTCTGTTATACCACGCGTAATTATTGTAATTAGACCTGCTGATTTTATAATGAATCGGCTACGGTGTTCTCATTCTCTTCTTGTTCGTTGTATAACAAAAGTATAATCAAAGGTCCTCTAGAAAAATGAACTATTTTGGAAGCTTTTTTACACGACAGAAGAGTCGAACAATCCACTGTCCACTAAAGACTTAATTGGTTGAATTTTAATTGTCAGTTAAATTAAGACGGATAAAATTGTTGCAGAACCATTAGGAATAATTACAAATACTCTTTATTAGTTCCTGGTAAATTAGTTCGTGAACACAAAATAATGTGAAACCCAACCAACTATTCCACTATTTCTTCTAACCAAGTTCCTTTCTACAGGTCAAAATCTGGTTCCAAAATCGTCGCACGAAATGGAAAAAGCAGAATCCGGGGATGGATGTCAACAGTCCAACGGTGCCACCACCTTCGGCTGGGGGCTTCCCATCGGGGCCCTACCCTGGGGGCCTGTTGTACTCCCACGGGGTCCCATACCCCTTTACGGGGCCTGGTCCTTACGCGCCCTACTTCCATCACCTTGCAGCCAATCATCATCACTCTCATGGTAGCCTTGGACACTCTCATACGTGATTGTGGCAACGCCCTGGGTCCCAAGATCCTAGGGTCGAAAAAGAAAACGAAAATAGTTGTGGACTATCCAATTAGTGAGGACTTTTCAGTGTTTTGTGAGGCTATATTGGACCCTATAGTCTGTTCACGAACGTGTTTGTATTGTGCCAAAAGTGAAGGGTTATTGTAGCTGTCATTTGTGGCGATCGGTTTATTAATTCAGTTAACGATTTCTCCGTTCAAAAGTAGAATGATTTTTTTTAAACATTAATATCAATGTTTGAATCAACGCTATGCTTTTTCATAAATAAACCCGGAACTATGGGTGAAATAAAAAAAAGTACGTACCTATAGGCATTGCAATATACAATTAGGCATTCTGAACAAATCAATTTCATTTTTTGTTCTTAATTTAAACGGTCCAATAATAATATGAATTCAAATAACACATATTAAAAGTGCAAAGTAATTTGAACTCTATTTCAAAGGCAATCAATTTCAAATTCCAATAAAAACATTCGTGAACGGACTACAGTGTGAAATTGTGACGAAAAAATGTATTATAATAGTGCAATTTATTTAAGGTAACTTTATGAATCGATTGTGATACGTATTAATAAGGTAAATAAGGTTTATTATCGTATGTATTTAAATAACTTTAATGTAAGTGCCAACATTTAGATTAGGTACTATGAAGAAACGAATCAATTTATGCTAATAATGTTAGAGAACAGAAATGTTACTTTTTGTTTGTTCGCGCCTATCTCTTAAACTAACAGTCGTATTTCAATGAAAATTGCTTCTTCTGACAATTCTAAGACATAATAACTAGAGAAAGTAATGGTTTATTTTAGCAATATGCTGCAATAACCGTTAGGAGTGCAGAAGCATCAAATCGTGGTTAAATAAGAACAATGTATTTTGTTTAAATAATTGAATGCTTTCCCTTTTTGTATGCTGTTTATTATTTTGCATTTGTTTTCTGCTTTGCACAGAATGATCTCAAATTATAACGTATCCAATAACATAATAAACTTTTGATAGCAAAAAGACCAAAGGCCGTAAGGACCAAGAAAGGTGAAAAACAAATTTGTCACGGCTTTTTAATACCAATAAACTTAACTGAAAATGCCGCAAAATATAACAAGTCTTAAAAAAAATAAATGGAATGTGTCCTTATTTGAATATACAATTTAATACAAAAAAGAAAGAAAGAAAGATAGAAAGAAAGAAAAAAAAAGAAAGAAAGAAAATCCATTTATAACGCCACGACACCCATGAAGACAACAATACAAGAACACAAAAAGAATTTACAAGAGATGTTCACCTTTGATCGATCGAACTGGTCCTTCCATTTCGTAAGCAAATAAAAAATGGTCCTTGCAATTCAATTTTTCTATTTTTAGGTTCAAAAGCTTTTCAAATGAATTCTCAAATATTATGCAATTAACACCAAAAATAAATAAGAACATGTAAGTATTTAGTTGTAGGTTATGTATAATAAAAGAATAATGTTTGTATATATACCTATAGCCAACATTTATGATTATGTCTATTTCCTATAACTTGCCAATGAATAGTTTTATAATTTATTTATTTTTATAATTTGGTTTTGTTCTTGACAGAGAAATTGATATACAATTGGGTAATAGCCAACTAGTCAAATTCAATACTTTTTTTTGGAACTGTCAAAAACGACAGCTTTCTGTGAATTTTATACGACATTGTGAATTATGACGTCACGTTTTTTTAGCGTCCGACAGCATACTTATTTCCTAAAAATTTGCTGGAAACATACTAAAATTAAGTTGGTAATAAAATCAATTAATAAAAGTGTGATTATTTTTTAATATTTTATTGTATTGAACTGTATAATTTATTTTTGACTAGAAAAGTACCCAATTGTTATACATTTTTGATATATACTGTGCAATTTGGTATTATATTGCCATCTAACGGCCGAAATTAATAAATGACTTGTTGCAACCCAAACTCTGTGGATGAGGATCGATGTTTACCGTGATGTCGGCCGGTAGTAGTAATTATTCAGGTTTATGAACTATTTCTTTGATTAAGTATTGATACAAAACCGACATTAAGGCAATGCCTATTCAAGTAACTTTGAAAATTCCTTTCTTCCAGTAATGCGACATTATATAAGTATATTATTTTACTTACCTTCAAAAACTTAAATATACTTTACATTTTTGCTTTTCCAATATACAAAAGCATTAGAATTGTAATCAAAAATTGTTAGCAAATATAATGCCTACGTTCGCTTTTGTTAATCTTATATTAAATTCGACTGAAAATTAAAAATAAATGTAAATAAATATGTAAAAGAGCCCACGCTTTTAGAGCTAATTATGTTCCTATTAAAATGTATTTTTATTTATGGAATGAGGGCGTTTTACAGTGTCTGAATAATTAGCTGATAGTTTGACACATTTTAATACATTTGATACGTTTACGTAAATGATCAAGTAATACCTAGACCTACGTCAAGATATTCATTACTGAATTATACAGAAACAATCAGACATTATGAAACAAGCCCTTAAAACTGGCGGTATCTTGAGAATTTTAGCGGTGAAATGAATTTAGACTTAACGTCCTTTTCAAAAATTTCATGAAAATTGTATGTCACGGCAATACACAGGTTCCTTAACAATAAGGTTTAATTTCCTATGTAACATGATGAAATATGCTGTATAATGTATTTTTTTTTGTTTTTTCTTCTGCCTTTTTAAATTATGTTTTATTATAAATAGTTAAGTATTATGCCAATACAATGCTCAACGCTGTAAATAATTGTAATTAGTTCGGCCATTACATTAATTCGATGTTGACATAAAATAGTTTCAAGTTATAATATGTTTTGTTTTATTTTTACTAAGAAACCCCATTACGAAAGTAATTATCATCAATATAACAAAATATTTTTTTCAAAAAATCTAGATAAACATATCTCTCAATTACTAATCAATGTTCTTATTGATAAATAAAATTTTAGACTGCAAGGCGTATCGGGTTCGACTCCCAAAAAGGTTTTTTAAGGGGGGAAAATCATCGAATGACTGCTCCCGCGCGTGAGGCGGGAGGTCAGACTCTTACTGACTAAAAACCACCCCGTTCCTTCTCCTGCGCTTCGAGCCGGAGCCCCGGTTACCCGTTAGGTTCTCCGCGACACCCAAAAAAAAAAAGTCTTTAGAGATTTCAAAACTTATCGGGAGCACCTGCCATCTACTCAATAAGGCTGAGGTGAAAGTGAATTAAAATATGATAACTAATTATATGTATTAGTTAGCTTACAAACCAAAAATTGAGTTTGCAAGAGCTTCATGTCTATTGACGAGATAAAAAAAAATATAATAAATATAGCAATAGGCTCACTATTACATGGGACTCATAACATAAATAGTGAACAGTGGGTGTTACATTGTACCACTATACAAAGTAACACCCACTTTTCAATGCCACTGCATTAAGTGCCGTAATGTACAACTATGCTTAGTCCTTCGGAGATAAAAGGCATGATGTTATGGTATGTTATAATAAGTATTTTAACGTATTAGTAGAGCATGTCTAATAATACCCTAAGCATAAATTGTATGCCCTAACAAGCATCATGTAAAAATAAACTAACCAATGAGGTCCCATTAAAATCACAAGGAAAATATATTTCGACTCTATACCCTTATTTACCTCAGTAACATGTCCCGGTCCTTATTTACACGATAACATACATTTATTATTTATTAAATTCATAGGGAGGGTAAGATAGGGTAACTCATATCGCCTCCATATCTTTAAGGGGTATACTTACCCTTTGGAAGTTGCATACTAAAATATTTACGATGAAAAATAGTGTGGCATGAAAATAAAATTATTTAATACATAAATTATTAGTTTTGGTGATGTGTGGACGAAAGGACCATATTTGTCGACTCTTGTTGTGTTACTTTATGACTGTTGTAGTTAATACGTGGATTGCGATACTAGGTGATTTTGATGAGTGCGATATCGGTATTAGAAATGTCCTAGATCGGTGCCTAACTTTAAAGTCAAATTCAAAGTCAAAACATTTATTTCAATTAAACCATAGTTTGGTACTTTTGAAACGTCAACAAATACAAAATAAATAATAGTCTGTAAGTCAGTCCGTCAGTGAAACTAGGTGAAGCTAGGTGCTCCTTCCAAAAAGTAGATTCGAATGGAGAAGAACGAGCAAGAAACTCCATTCGTTACTCTGTTTAAAAAAGTATCTTCTACGTATGTTTACGTAAGTATGTTTTAAGATTTGGATTCCAATTTAAAAATAAATAGGTACTACTTATTTCAAGATATGTACTTACAGGAACAAAAAATATGAAATAGGTGTACTTTCTCGCTGTAAGATTTAGGGAATATCTATTTAGTATTTTTACGTAAGAACCTAGGGACCCATCGGGCCAACAACATCCCTAACGAAAGAAATCCTTTAAAAAATTGGCAAATACATCAAAGGCTAAATAATTGACACGTATAGACGACTAGAAAGTTTCACGCGCTCTTAAAACCGCATGATTGACACCCCAACATCCATCCATCGAGATTAACTAGCTAAAAATGTGTTGAACGGATTTTTTTTCGCGCGGCCTCCTTTGAGCCGCATTCAAGATGGCGGCTAGTCATCTGTCATTTTTAATTGTATGTCAAACGGCGCGTACAGGACGGCTTGCCGACGAGGAGGCATTAAGTATATTTAGTTTATTGCGTTATAAACGAAGCTATTATTGGGAACCCTAATTTGAATTTGGCTACTGTTAGCGTCACGGGTTTGTAGACTATAATTTATTGTTTTACTCATTTCTTCTATTACGATATTATGAACTATGACGACTATCTTGGCGATCGAGTAGTTAGATGTGTTCGTTCGACAGTCCAGCGAGCGAAACTGGTCGGGTAATATTTAAAAGTGTGCCGGGTAAGTAGCAAGAGGGTCGCCGCTATTATTAAGAAATCATGCCTAACCAAAACTTTCATAGGTATAGCAAACAGCGTGATCGCGTGTTATAATGTGCTTAGTACGTCAAATAGCCGATACGGAGTCGCGGAGAACCTAACGGGTTACCGGGGCTCCGGCTCGAAGCGCAGGATAAGGAACGGGGTGG